ACGATTAAGGTCCTCGTGTAGTCCATCTAGTAGAAACGCAACCAGTTCCTGTGAGTCGTGCTGCTGATATCCGCTGAATTGAGGGGCAAATTTCTGTAGCTGCGACTTGAACTCGCGCGGCGAGTACGAAGTGCTCGTTGAATCGCGTGCCCAGATACGATGTAAGAGTAGTCCGAACGCCTCTGCGATGGCACCGTGCATACCAAGCGGGTTGTCGGGATTGAGTTCCTCTTGATAAACGCCAGCTATGATATGATGTCAGCGTCGCTGACCAATACCTGAGGGAAATACTTGCAAAGAAAATAATTCGTCAACTCTTTTGTATGCGCGAGACATTGGAGCGCTGAGTTCATGAAACACGTATTCCCCCTAAGCTCGTGTCAGCGAATCGATCACTATTTGACAACAAAACGTACATGTTTCCCAGGCCGAGAGTGCCAGGTTCTTGGATAATCTTACTGCCACCCTTTGAAAATCCGAATGATTTGAAAGGAACAACTGATGACTCCTTCGCTTTAGATGAAGAGCCTCGCCGTGACGGCGACGGAGTGCGAAATGGCTGAGTGTTCTGGAATGCTGATGTTCGTTGATTACTCAGACGGCTGAAGAAATCGTTGTCATTGCTAAAATGGGGTGGGGGTACGTGTACTGCTGAAGGTGGAGGTGCTCGCACAACTTGAGAAGCATCAACGATCCAAGCGCCATTCTCTTGAAATTCGACCACGAAAGGATCTTCCGGTTCTATCATGCTGTCCTCGACTGTCTTGTCTGTCTCTTCACTCACTAGCTCTGCTCCCCACGATGCAAGTTTTGATGTGGGAAAGTGAGAACCGAGGAATTCGCCGGGTTCAATCTTCCAGATTCTGCAAGGAATATTGCTGCGAGCGGTGACAGCAGATACGAGCGCCTGAATAAGGGTCTTCATTGTGTCTCTGATAGAGACAGTGACGTAGGAATGGGGAGGTCCTGCGATATCAGCATCTGGACCCAAATCTTTGAGCACTAAGACTTTGAGGCGCGGAGGACGAAGTTCCAAGGCGGTCTGCAAAAAGGCTTTGGCGATGACGGATCGCGGGAGCGGATGTATTGGCTGACCATACCTGAAGGGATATAAAGACGAGAATCAGAGAAGTCAGGAAGTCACACGCACCAAGCCACAAGCTCAGACCAGGCCTCTTCGGGTAAGAACTCGACGTCAATGTGTTCGACTAGATTTGAGGTAAGATTTCCCTGAGAGTCAAATAGAGAGGAGTTGTCTGGTGGACCAATATTCTTCTCCTGCAATGGCTCGAGTGACTTGTCTGATAAGATTCCGCAAGCGATCTCCCATTGTCTGAACCATTGACGAGATATGATATACCAAGTGTCGCCTGCGACCATAGGCTTGTCACGCAGGGATTTGATACGTGCCACTTTCTGCTCGATGGTGAGAGAACCCAGTTGAATTGTAATATCTTCACCCTGTTCTTCCATATAAGTGTCAATTTCAATCTCTTGCTCTCTCGCAGAATCGACGGAAGATATAGGATCTGTCATGATAGGGACAGGTGTAGTTGATGAAGGGCCTTCTGAAGCAGAGCGCTTTATAGAAGATGAAGAATCTGATTGCATAGAGTGAGACCGCTGTCTCTTTCGACTTGCGGAAATCAATTCTGATGGCTTTAAGGAAGGTGATGCTGCAGGTGATGGCAAACTCATGACATTTAAATGAGAAACCTCCTCGACCAACAAGAACGCGTATGTAACTCTTTTTTCCCACGGATCGACTAGTATTACATACTCTTTGGTCTTTCATGATCAACTAATTAGGGGACTTCGCAAGTTGCCATATAGCCTCGAGTCATATATCTGAATCTTCGATGCTCTGCAAGTAAAATTTTCTCTAGCTGGTATGTCATAAGTAGTATGGTAATACATGAGGTGGCCAGGCAATGACTCGGACTTTGTAGCCCTCAGTGATCCCAAAATGGTCGACGGCCACTAATTTGTTGGTATCACATTTGACTAGTCTGAATCGTAAAAAAAATGACCCATGATGCATATTCAGACGTTCATCTCCATCAGGAAAAACTTCCATTAGACTAAGTTTAAGCAATAAAAATTTATAATAAAAAGACGTGGTGGGTGGGAGCCCGTGATGTCATTGCATTATGAGATAGTGTACTGTTCATGTAAACTCCTTTCTTCCCACTCGCAGCCATCATGGTCGTACAAAGTAAAGCTTTGTCAATCTCATCATGCCATCGTACTGACTGCTCGACCAACTTTGAACACAGGCAAGCATTTCCTGAACACAGCACCCTCTCTCGTGCTCGATTCCTTAGAAGGACTGTGCGCAATCAATACACAACTAGCTCTTGATCCGATCCATAGAGGTAACATTGCAGACCGACGATCAGGATACTAAACAAAAAAGATATATAGTCGTCTACCTTGCTGATCAGGACCGCTCCAAAGTTGCTCTCCTCTGTGGAGGTGGTTCTGGTCATGAGCCATCCCACTCAGGTTTCGTAGGTAAATGAGCCCTCGCATCACATTCCAGATCACGCTGACCTGGATGCAGGCCAGGGCGTTTTGACCGGTTAGCAGAATACTCTTTATGCGGTCGTGACCTAACCGACATTCACGAAGCTGCTGTGTGTGGACATATCTTTGCCTCTCCAAGTGCTGGTCAAGTTCGCCGTGCAGTAGATCTGATCGACAACAAAAGAGGGTGATTCCATTGTTGCAGCTGTAACTTTATTTGCTAACAATGACTGCATTTAGCACTATCATCGTAGTCAAGTACGGCTCATCGCGACGACTGTTGTAGTATCAGATTTGCTAACTGATCTTGTATGCAGGAATTACACCGGCGATGTCCTCAATTTTGGTCTAGCCAAAGAAGAATATGCGGCCCGTTATCCCGACAAAGCTGACCGTGTCAAGTTCGTCATCGTAGGAGATGACGTTGCTGTAGGAAAAACCCAAGGTAGTATTGTCGGAAGACGGTATGGACATCTATCGAAATTCCACTACATCACTTGAACATCCTACAGTGGTCTTGCAGGTGTTTGTCTCGTCTACAAAATTGCAGGCGCCTTGGCCCAAACTGGTGCCTCTGTAGATGAGGTCTACGATATCGCCCAGTACGTTTCCTCTAGGCTCGGTACTATAGGGGTTGGTCTGGACCACTGTCATGTACGAGTCAACGTTCGAGTGTTGAGGACATCTCTGTATTCACGATACTTCCTCGCTTCGTGCAGGTCCCTGGAACCGCTATTCCCGATACATATTTGGGTGCGAATGAACTCGAAATCGGTCTCGGAATTCACAACGAAAGTGGTCACCGTCGCATTTCTCCTGTTCCACCTCTCAATGAACTCATCCCCACTCTCCTCGACATGATTACTTCCACAACAGACAAAGAACGGTCTTTCGTTCCCTTCAAGAATGACGGCACAGACCGTGTTGTTCTTCTCGTCAATAACCTCGGCGGTCTCAGTGAACTTGAACTCGGCGGAGTAGTCGCCGAAGTGAGGCGTGCTCTGGATAAATCTGGGATTAAGATCATGCGCCTGCTTTCTGGCTCTTTCATGGTTAGTCGAACCCCTTCAGCTTTACTAGAATCAATGATAATCCTTGCTAGACAAGTCTCAACATGCCCGGATTTTCAATTACGATGCTCCTTCTCCCCGCCGAAAACGACACGGGAACTCCAACCGCTGATTTCATCCTTTCCTTACTCGACGACAGTATCAACACCCCAGGATGGAAATGGTCTTCTAGGTCTGTCCCAAAGCCACCATCTGTCTTTTCGTCCCTCCCGACTGCAACCCACGCGAAGGCCTGGTCAGCCTCACTCAAAGCCCCCGATGTCGATCAATTCAACAGTGCTATAGAGCGTGCATGCCGGGCCCTCATTATTGCTGAGCCCGAGATTACTCGCATGGACAACATCGCTGGTGATGGGGACTGCGGACTTACGCTCAAAGATGGTGCTACAGGTACTTCACATTATGATATTTATATGCATGCATACTCATTATATACATACAGCTGTGCTTGAGGCTCTGAGCAAAAACAGCATCTCTGGCAACGATGTACTTGGCAGCGTCATCACAATATCTCGTATCGCAGAGGATGCGATGGGAGGAACTAGCGGAGCCCTCTATTCGTTAGTGAAGTTCCTTTTGGTCAGATTCATATGTCATAATCATCATGTATCAGAATCTTCTTCTCTGCCCTCGCTCAAGCGCTCGCTAAAAGCTCCTCCTCGATCGCCACACAAGAAGTATGGTGCACGGCGTTAGAAGCTGCTCTAGGTCGTTTATATACTTACACTCGGGCACGTCCCCCTTCTCGTACACTAGTCGACCCTCTCACTGCCTTCATCGGTGCACTGTCGTCCGGCCTTGCGGCAGCCGTGAAGGCTGCTAGAGAAGCTGCTGAAGGGACGAAAGACATGGAGGCAAAGGCCGGTAGGAGCGCATATATTGATAGCACAAAGCTAAAGGCTGAGCGAGTTGCCGATCCTGGGGCATGGGGCGTGAAAGTTGTGGTGGAGGCCCTAGCTCAGTGATGGTATTTTAGGCATTCACAGTATTGATTCTCCAAACATGTGACTGATGCGGTCACCATCGGGCCAGAGATAGCCGTGCGTAGCGAGAAAATTGCTAACCAAATTTGAAGCACGAGATAATTTGCCAGTACTTGGTCACTCTGACTGATTGACATGAACATGCATAAATAGGGGCAGGCTCGATGTCATGATCATCAGCCAGGCGAGCAATAATCCTGAATTCATCAATAAGAGTGCCGCAGCCTCCGTGTACTTCAACTGGAAGCAATAATGAAAGACTAGGCTGCACAACGACACTGAAAAACGGTTATCATTCAATTTCAAAAACCTCGTCACTCACAGGAGTTCGATATACTCTCTCTTCTATCTGCATGCAGTGTTCTCTTTCAGTTACAGTAGTGGTCGAAACAACTTGAAGGACCCGAGAATGTTGGAGACAATTGCTCAAGTGAACTTAAATAGCTTGACACCACTGCGAAAACTCGTGGACTATCTTCATAATAGATACATAATGACTAAACACATTTTATCCCAAGGTGTTCATTCCATTCCCAGTCCTGGGTCCTTCTTTCTATGTACACCCATATGTCTCGCAAGCTGGTCCGGCCTCGCGAAAGACTTTCCACACCCACCCTCAGGACAGGGATAAGGGCGTGCACCTGTATGCGTTCGTAACTAGAAACACGGTCTGGTTCAGAAACTATATCTGCAATAACTAAAAAGCCTACATGTTTCGACAGATTCGACGACTCAGCGAAAGCCCTGAAGAAAGACAATACATCAGCACTCCAACATCAAATAGAAGAACCCCATACTTCTCGCAAAACTTGCACTTGAACGGCTTGAAACCATTGTGCGTCCGCTTGTGAATCGTCAATGCACCCGTGATAGCAAACGCTTTGCCGCACCCGGGAAAATCACAAACGTATGGCTCTAACAGTGTCCAATGAGCTGCCTGTCGAACGCGAGATGACAGAAAACAGAAAAGTACATACTCTCTTGGGTATGCCTCCGCATATGCTGTTGCAGCGTAGCTGTTTCTGAGAAATGTGCATTACATATTTTACACTTAAATGGCCTATGTCCTGTGTGCGACTGCATGTGCCGTGCGACTTTTTGTTTACTTGAAAATCCTTGCGTCCCATTCCGAGAGCAACCCTCCCAGCAACACTCGTAGTGTGCTTTACCGCTGCCGATGTGGGCAGAGAGGATGTGGTTTGTAAGGTCATCAGGAGAAGAGAATGTTTGCGTGCACCCACTCCATTTACAAGGTTTGATGGCGTCTGTGAACGGGGAGGGGGAGTCTGGCGGATAAGACTTGTCCAGAGGTGAAGGATAGGGAGGGACGTCTGTGGATGTTTCGTCATGGGGAATAATTTCCGGTGGTAATGCCGTGCGCGCCATCATCGATTGTGGGAAAGGGTAATTGATACCAAAATGATCTTGCATCAAGTGTGTAGTAAGAGCGTCAAGGACAGTATCTGTAAACACGGTTGTCGAAGAGCTTGAAATTGATTCTGTACAGGGTAACATAACACAGTCTCCCCAGTGGCACGACATAGTATTGGTGTCGAATTGTTGATTCTGGGAAGCGTCTGAGCATACCTGCTGAGGGGCTGATTCCTTCGTTAAACTTGGAGGGCGGAGATGGTCCAAGTTGACGTGCCCGACTAGCTCCATAAGAGATGGGAATGTAGCCTTACAGTCCCCCCACAAACAAGTAAACATATCTGGTGAGAACTGTGGTAGGTGTTGTGGCAGGCCAACGGGTGTGAACTGAGTCGCTGCCTGGGAAATGTGGGGTGAAGAAAACGCTGAGCTAGTAGATGACGCCAGACATTCGGGAGAAGCGTTACCCAAAGGCCGGGCTATGGTACTGTATTCTGGAGAAAATCGGGGTACATGTTGTTCGCTGTAGTCGCTCTCGTCGCATCCACACAAACCATTTGTTGACTGTGGGTTCCAGTTGAACTGTGTGAGACTTGGGTCAAGGGACTTTGGCTGGGATAGATAAGAATGATAATCGGTGCAGCATTGCCAGCTTGAAATTGAAACAATTAGGAAAGGCGTGGACACCACAATATGGCGTACCAATTCTTCAAGACCAGAACAATCACCGCAGTCCTCGTCAGGAACACAGGCGCTATCGCAGATCATGTCACCGTCTGCAATGTGGCAACTGGGCTCAGGGTGGGGGTAGGATCGTTACAGGCGACGACGACACACTTGTCAGTGCACTGAGAGGTCATCTCTAGTATGGGGCATGCGGGTCTTTGCATTCATTATAGACCCTTGTAAACAGTGTGAGCACGGCGGATACAGGGAGTGTATTAATGAACCTCCACGATCCATACCAACGTCAAACCTGGAAGGTCGTAAGGGCGGAATGAATTGTCATGGAGTTGCATGAACAAATAAGTGTTGCTCGTCCTCAGATCGGAAAGCTTGTAGTAAGATGGGCTGATCGTCAGCGACGGCGATGACGAGAGCAAAGGGGATCTTTATGTGGTGAATATCTGGAAAAATGAGGTGTTAGGGAAAGGGAAGCGTTTCCTTGATCGAGTTGATGTGTAATTGCAGTATTTTTCATTGCGTTATGAGCTTGGTGACTGCGAGGGTCCTCTTCGGCGCTTCAACGTGATAGTGGTACGGGAAAATTGGTCATGACAATGGCTAGGGAGTAGCGTCACGTGCGTGAAGTCGGAGTTTGAAAATCGACCAACATTTGGCCCGAAAGCTGTTCATGATGGCGAGCTATAATGTCCGGAGCGACAGACTCCACATTATTCAGGAGCCATTTCCGAAGAATGGACTCATTTTCGTCCTTGTCGTGCGGGGCAGTATAAAAATAGTGGAAAGGCAACTACCGCAATTTTCCAGTTAGACCGGTGTGATGGCGAGGATTTTATGTCGTTGTTGTCCTCAGCGTTCCCTTGCCTAAATGTCCACATAAATTAGTGCTGCCACGGTCCGGTCCAGAACCGGACCGGAAAACGGCTCTCGGTTCTAGGTCTTCCCGAACGGTCCATTCTGGTTCGGCCTTGCCGAACCATTCCGAACCATTATCGACTTCGACTTCGACTGCGACTGCGACAAAGTCGGTCTCCACATCAAACTGCTGTCTTCGGGATTTGCACTATTGGTTAATCAGGCTACCTTCAGCCTTTTCAAGGTAAGTACTAATCAATCAATTTCTCACATGACTTTCTATCTCTCTTTTTCAAGGCACCTTTGATTTGCGTCCCACCAATCATCCAGACTGAACCATCACTCAGCTCCATCTTGCCGTCGTCCACCCACAAATTACAGGTATGTGCATCTGAATTAAATTTTTTTAAAAAAAATCTCATTTGAGTCAAGGCTCTATAATTATGTGCGTGCATCCTTTTTGTCACTGGCGAAGCCATCTTCCTATCGACTGTCTCATTCAAATCGTTTTGAAGTTTTTGACTTGATACTAACCTTACACTTCAGGTACCCTCAGCTCCTGTTGCCAATAAACCCAGCCTATTCCCTACCTCGTCTACTCCACAAATAACCACCACCACCGCACCTACCACGTCATCTACACCCTCCATACCGGACTTTTTCGCTAAGCCAATTGCACCGTCGACGCCTGCACCTGCAGCTCCTTCGTTTTCTCTTTGGTCCCATGCCCGCACAGCCGCTGTTCGCTGCACCTACTTCCACATCCACCAATCCCTTCTCTGCACCAGCAGCATCAAGCACGGAAACCGGCAAACCAGCACCATTCCCCTTCGCAAAACCACCCAGTGTACTACCTTCCTCGACGCCAACATCTACATCGACACAAGCTAACCCACCATCGATATTTAGTACCACTCCGAGCAACGCTGCCCCAACTTCTGCCCCATCCACACCTGCACCGCTGAAGTTTGACTTTGGCAAGAAGCCTGCGAGCACGATCCCAAAGCCTACTGCTGCACCTTCCCCTACCACAACTGTTGCCGACGCCGTAAAACAGACTTGCCCTTTATTTGCGTTTTCGGCGGCTGCTCCCCAATCCAGTCCCCTGGGAGCGAGTTCGCACGGCTGATCATTTTCATGAAGGCCGCTTACCGTAATGGACATCTTTCAGCAGCTACAGAGGCAGAGGAGTGCGCACAAATGTTATTAGAGTAGTTACTCAATGTGTAGACTAGTATTTCGTCAATTTTTTTTGCTGTCCCTACAGAAAAAATTTCGGTTCGGTTCAAGTTCAGACCGCAAAAAAACCGAACCGGACCACGGCAGCACTAATGTCATAAATACTGCTTTTTCCTTCCTGCATCCATTAGCATCCACTTTTAGCCAGTCATCGAGCAGTCTGCCATTGCTCATCAGCTTGCCTTCTTGGTACCTAAGACAGACCCAGACAAGGACCCAGACGAGGGATTCAGCATCGTGCCGGTACTTGTGCATGACTTTGCCTTCGAGGCCCTTTTTCTGGAGCAGGTCGAGTGCCATGAATGGAACTGTTCCTGTGCACTCCTTCCCGCTGGGCCCATCGGGTTTGATCAATGATAAGTCGTAGTCCTTGAGGACCCCGACCCATTGGCCGTTCAGCCCGTAGACCATAAGATTGTTAGGACTGATGTCGCGGTGATGGACATTGTGCTTCCAGAGTGTGTAATGACCTGTTGGCTCACTTAGGGACAATGAAGAGTACAGGAAAAATCAGACATACATAGCGCAACTTGCCACCATGCGCTGAGAAATTCGTCTCCACTCAGCGACGTGATTGGGATAAGCTTCCTGAACATAACGATATACAAAATGCGACTGCCCCCTTCAGCGTCAGCGTCTTGAATTCCTAGCGACCTCCTGATTTTGGTCGTGGACGTCTCGTCAAACTTGTGGAACCAGACCATGTCCGGGATGTGGCCCTTCACTGTTGATTCCTTGCTCGCAATGCTATACACGTTTTGAAGTATCTCGTCCTCGCTCTGACGTCGCTCTTCTGGCCAATAGAGCTTGGCGACCAGTTCCTTAGAATCGTTACCACAAACATCTCTCTTCTTTTTGTCCGAAAGATACTTGCTTTGGACAGAAAAGACATTAGTTGCGTGACCGTGCAGACCGAAGTGAGTCATGCGTGTGTCAGACTTCAGGTCCAATTTGAGGTTGACATCTCCAACGACGACGTCGCAAGAAACTCCAGGAACGTGGGTAAATTTCGGATTATGGCCCCATTGCTCGTCTCCCATGCGCTGCATAGCAAGCAGTAACACAAGGAACCGGGGAAGATCCTTGATAAAGTTGATGCCGGCGCATTGAATGGCATTTTCTCGATTAAAATACCAGATGTAGATGATATCATCTAGTACGGGCGATCAATTCAACAAGAGGCCTAAGATATTCAGTCGACTTACTGTTCACTACATAAGATATGACGCACTGCAGCGCGATGTTGGCAGTGAATAACACCGCAGCATACAAACCATTCTGGATGTTTGGATGAATCTTTTCGGGCTCCTCTGTGATTTCCTTCTGGTCCGTGGAGTTCTCATCGGTTTTCTTCTGGCGCTTGCAAGCAGGTTCGTTGAAGTCCAACTCATCAGATTTACGTTTGCTATCTGATTTTGCTTTCAGCTGCTCGGACGTACGCGTACCCTGCGCTGAATTGCGAAGGTCAGCAATGAAGTGTAGGTAGACACTCTGTATGGCTTACGTTCATCCGATGGCATGTTCGAGCTTCGAGTAGAAGCGGCGGCAGGCGCAAGAGTCGCAGCTGTTGGGTCAAGGTTTTCCGTTGCATTCCAAAGGTTCAGATACTTGAGCCTTGGATTAAAGGGAGCGTATTTTGTCACTTGGTAAGGCAATACTGGAGGATCCAGAGTGGAGCTGCGTTTGAACTCCACGGTCGATCGAACATCGATCCATTTGAAGTTGCCGTGAAGCTTCTTCGCCGCTTTGTTCATGTAAAACACTTCGATATCTTGGTTTTGATCCTCGCCGTCGTTACCCATACTAGCCTGGCCCTTACCCTTAGCCTCTCTACCCTTCACCGCAGCCTTCACCGCTTTCCGAGAGACGAGAACAACGTCCGGCTTGCGCATAGACTTTGCGCCTTGGTGCACTCGTGTCCTGTCCTTGTCATTATGATAGAACAAGATGTCCATATCGTTGTTTTGCGGGGAAGCAGGTAGTCCGGAGACTTCCAAGCTCCTCAGTTTGAGGAGTGCGGCATTGGCCGCACGCACAAAGGACGGGTACGAACTTGGCTCTGTGGCGCAATTGGCACTGGGAAAAGACGCTCAGCTTCTTTCATACCACGTGAACTCTCTACCTACAATTCAGTCCAGTTATCCGTGATTTCTGGAGTGTTGTTGCAGATGTCCAGGACAGCTGTAAGAGAATCTTGAAGCAATTTCGACTTCTCACTGCTGGGACGCTCATCGAAGCCACAGAGGAGCCACTGTAGCATTCCATCGGCTTCACATTTCTTGTAATTCTCCACATCCCAAGTGATCCATAAGGGGACATCCCTGACCCTGCGTGCATGGTAAAGTTCGATATAGATATATAAGTGACCGAGCAAAAAGAATGATTGACGTACCTGATGCCTAGAGTACTAATGTGTTCGCTGACAGCGGCACTGCCATTGACCATGATGCCAATGAACTGAACGAGTTACTGCCAGTAGAAAATAAAAAGTGGGGGCAAGAAAATGCAGTTCATGGTTCGCTTTTAAACCAGAACGATGCTATTGTTCTGAAATGAAATAAAGGCAACAATCGATACCTCAGTAGAGATTCGAATGTTGATGTACTCTGAGCCACCGTCATGGTTGAACCGCTTGAACATTGAATTCCGAGTATCATTGATCTGGCACTGCCATCACACATAAACTTCTTTCGATCACATGCCCATCCTGGCACCCACAAACGCCCATCATGATTATGACTTCGATTTTTTTTTTCTTTTGTTCCACGCGCAAAGAAGTAATTGTGTTTTGGGATTGCTACTGCGGGTCCACGCACCGCTTCGTCGTTGACCGCCGCCATGATTTATCCAACTTCTCATTTGTTCTTTTTTTCAGTGTGACAAAGGAGTCAAGTTCGCAGATCATATCCGTATCAATAAATAACATGATGCCATCAGATTTCGAAGCCGCCATCCTGGTCCACAGCACTACTCCATGATTTCCCCAACAAGCATAATCGCAAAGTCCGACTCATTCTTTTTTGCCAGCGTGACAGAGGAGTCAGGTTCGCAGTTCATATCCGTATCACCAACATGATGCCATCAGATTTCCAAGACCTCATTCTGGTCCACAGCGCCACTGTGATTTCTCCAATGAGAAGAATTCGCGACTTCAGTGAGTCAAATGATCATTCCTTCTGAATCATCACTGTTATTCGTTTTTTTTTGGCGATCCGCTCCAGTGTCTGCACGAGGAACAACATCTTGCTGCAAAATTGCTTATCTCGGGCCAGCCTCCGCATTACTACCATTATACATCAGATTCCAAGGTCACCACCCTTGTCGCCACTGTGATTTCCCCAACAAGCATCACCACACATATCATGACTCGATCTATTTCGAATGGGTTACTTCAATCAAAGGGAAATATACTTACTTCTGATCCTTGACAGTTGACTGGATGATCCCGTCATCATTGTCTTGTTCGAGTATCGCATTCACTGTATCTTGCTCGCTAATAGAAGACAATGCAGCAGATCCCTCCTACATGCAGTATGACTCCTACTTTGAGCGGTAGCTGAGGCTTTCTCCTCTAATTACGGCAAAAATTTCCCATGGAAGCCGACGCAGCTTGTGAAAGTATCTGAAACGTCAAGATCTAGGGACCATTTGACCTGCGGAACAAGGCTAGCAGCGGCGAGAAACAGTTCAGGATCCGTAGAGGTCTCGAGCAGCCACTTGACGCCAGGTGCTTCGAGATTGGTGGTGGGTATGTCAGGGAGGGTGAGGACGTATTCATCCCCCAACAAAAAAAATCCAAATTCAGGTCGAACTCTTGTGCTTCCGAGTCCACGACCTTTGTCGAAACGCGCGAAACAACAAAAGACAGCCACCTCTGAAACCTGGTTGATTAATTGCTGAAGAGATCGTCGTGCGAATGTGCCGGCCATATGTACAGGGCCTGGGTAGTGAAATGAGCACAGAGTATACACTGCTTACATAGTACGACCCAGAACGCGGCGAGCAAACTCATGGACAAGCTTGCACATGCGATCGTTTGGATCCATAAGGTCGGCGCGCTCGGAAACCACGTAGATGCTGGGTCTGTGAGTGTGGAGCCCGCTGCAGCGAGATTGCCCGGTCCGATTTGAACAAGTTGCTTCAAAAGGGCATTCGTGATATTACTGGGGTCGGGACTGAGATTGGACACCATCGTGACAATGAGAGATGTGCTGACAGCAGAGAAAAGGTCCATGTCAGTAGTGTATCGCTCGAGAAACTCGACGTCGTGCTCCTCTGCGACTCGTTTGTACACCCCCGAGAAACGAGACCTATTGTCCTTGCCACTCTTCGATGCGATCGTCGAGTCCTGGAGAACATCTAATACTTGCTTCATGACATTTGCTCTGCATATAGGATATGGTCAGTTGTGATCGCTCAGCTTATTTTTCATTCACAATTCGTTTAGCGTGGGTTGGTCCTTATCCGCCACCACCTTGCTGAGATAATTGAGGAGCATGTTTGATATCATTATTGACGAGAACTTACGGAGATAAATCGCCGACCGATGCAACATTGGGAGTGTTTTTCTGTACGTGAGGTCCCGACGGCTGTGAAGGTCCAGCATTGGAGCTGCAGTTCTGGTGAGGAGCGAGACAGCAGCATTAAGGCAGAAACACATACATCCCCGATGGCAGCTCCGCCAAAGGCTCACAGTTTTTCTCCCCGTCTCATTGTCAGATAGCAGGCAGACTCCAGGACACCACAACCCACTTTTCTGTAGGTCGTACGTTGCCGTTCTCTGGAGAAGGCCGAGCCGAGTCGTTGTGGGCGTGCCGATCCTCAGCACTGCCAGTGTCTGATGCTTGTGGCATGAGGAAGTTACAACTAGGCTACTGTATTTGATCCCAGACAAAGCCAGTGAAAGGGTCTGAGGTGCGTGGACAGAGCAGTGGTGGTACACAAGAAGTCGTTTGGGCGGCTGCAACCATGTCGAACACATGCTTGCGAGCGTTGACGCCGAGAGCTGCCTGCAGTGGACTGTGACAATATATAGGCTCCCATGATTGGTGTAGTCAGACCGAACGCAAGAAAGAAAGTTGCCGCCTCGAGACAACGTTCTGAATCGGAGGTGGCGTGCCGGAAGGGCTTGCCTGAGTCTCTGACCTGTTGAGTCAATTTTGATCTGTTTTTGCCACTAGCCTGCTGCCTGAGCTCTGTTCTATGACTCTTACTTCGCTCATGACTCATACCTACACATTATATTCGTCATAATATCTCCCCATACATAGGAGCCCATAGATGATAGGGCACCGCTTCTGATGTATTGTTTGTAGCGATATGAGAAATTTGAGTGGAGACTTGCCACGGATGTACAACGATCTGGGTAGTTCGTTGCTTCATAACAGCATCAGAGGGAAAATTAGTACCAACTTGAAATCGATCCTACTTTTCAAAGTCGAGTGACTCTCCAATCGATTTGAATTGTGTCATCAAGGCGCAGTGGTTGTCCCCATCTCACGGCCAGTACTGGAGCGCTGACGTGTGGATTGACTGCGTGCATGAGAGACGTTCAATTAATTGACTGATTTCGATGGATTACAGGGTTATCCCATCCATGTAATATAAGCTTCATACGACGGCCACTCAGTCTTGTATATTTATATTACGTCGTCTGCCGTGGATATGGCTAGGACCGATTTTCACTGTCTGGAATTTCGTGCAATGCTGTCAGCATCCATTATTACAATGGTATTAGCCTGAGAAATCTAAGAGGGTCCGTCTCACTTTGCGATCGATTCCTGCATGTATTCA